AAAATGGGGCTTGCGGAGGTGGCAATAGGCTATGGCAATCCCTGCAGCCTGAAACAGCTGAGCAGTGGGAGGCCCGTGCTTAAACAGAAATTGAAAGTGAAACTTGCTGTTTGCTGCAAGGAGGCAAATTGCTGGGAGGCAGAGGCAGATTTTTCTTCTTCTTCTAATCTGTCTAAACTAAAACAGGCTGTTACTGCAAGGAGGGAAGTCAATAACTATAAATGCCTATAGAATGTCCACATTATTAGACTTATATTTTAAAGACTGCTTTATTATTATTCTAGACAACTTAACAAAATGAAGAAGCTTTTTAAAATAAATGCTTGATCGGAAGAGGCCCAGTGCTATTGTATCTTCTTTTAAATAGCAGAGAATAACTATACTTCCAGGAAGCCACTTTCAATTTTAACAGCATCTGTACAAATATAGTCTGAAATGTAACACCACAAACAGTGTACATCGTCTGTACTGTTTGCTGTTTGGGGCAAGGAGGCAAATTGCTGGGAGATCCCCCCCCACACACACACTTGTTTTCCTCCCCAAAAGCTAGGTGCCTCTTATACTTTGGAGCGTCTTCTACTCTGAAAAATACGGTAGGTGGGTTTCACCCCTGTGGCAAAGGCTACCAAAATAAAGCTATGGGGAGGAGGCAACCTGGCAGACACGGAGACAGGGGTGCTATGGGGCAGCTCGATCGCTCCCCTCGCAGGGACCCCGGCCTCACCTGAGTTCTGGGCGGCCCCCCACCAGCCCAAAGGAGACGAAGTCGCTGCCCGTGTTCTTCTTCTGCCCGTTGTACACCAACATCCCTGTGGGAGACCAGAAGAGGGGAACTCAGGGATGCTGGGGACAAGAGATACCACCCCACGCCCACATGGCCCCCCAGGTCCATTGGACAGCATCATGCAAGGTGCTGAGCTCAGATCCACCATGCTCTGCCTCCTGTCCTGCCCCAGGCCCTGGGAGCCTGAGGAGGGAACAGGAGACTTCGAACCGAAGGCTGAGAGCGGCCCTCACAGCCCCACATCCAGGCAGAGCTTCCTTGCAGGAGTTTGCAAGGGAAGATTAGGTCCAAACAGTGCAGCCCAGCTAAATAGGAATAAGATAGACTGCAGCTGGATGAGGAGGCTCGGGAGCTCCTGGTGTATTAGTCAGCTTGTCAGTAGCTCAGGTGGCTCAGGAGGTACACTCCCACCACCACCACCCACCCACCCACTCCAAACACACACTCCAGAAGCAGAAAAGGGTTAGAAAGGTGCCGGGCAGGAAGACTGCAGTGCCCAGCAGGGGCACAACTCACCTGAATAAAGCATGAGAGCTGGAAGGGCAGAGGAGGAACGAGGGGAAGAGGCGAGAGGAGGAAGAGGAAGGAAGGAAGGAAGGAGGAGGAGGGGGGCAGATGAAAGGAAGAGAGGTTGAGTGAGAGATGCTCAGAACAGAGAGCTCAGGACTCGCATCCACACCAAGAAGAGGAGTGGCTATCCTTGCCCACCCGCCTGCCCCGCAGACTCTCTTACCATCCGCGGTGTCGGGACGGAAGGTGATCTCGAGGGCAAACACCCGATAGGCATCCTTCATAGTAGGCAGGACCAGGTAGGACTGAGGATTCTGGGTAAAGTAGGGCACCACCCGCTCTGCAAGGGGAGGACAAAGGATGTGAGGATGGTTGAGCCTTCCGCCTCCTTCTGCAGATGGGCAAGACCCAGGCAGGGGCGAGAGCTTCTGGCATAGGGCTGGGCAAAACTGGCAGAGGTTACAACTGACATGTGATGAGTCTCTGCCCAGGTCCTCCGGCCTGGCTCCTCTCATGGCCACAAGGGGGAAGGGGCAGGTGGAGGAGGAGGAGGAGGAGGAGGAGGAGGAGGAAGAGGAGGAGGAAGAAAAAGGAAGGAAGAAGAAAAGGAAGAAGGAAGAGGAGAAGAAGAAGAAGGAGGAGGAGGAGGGAGAAAAAGGAAGAAGAAAGGAGGAGGAGGAAGAAAAAGGAGGAAGAAGAAAAAGGAGAAAAAAGGAAGAAGAAAAGGGAGGAGGAGGAGAGGAGGAGGAGGAGGAGGAGGAGGAGGAAGAAAAAGGAAGGAAGAAGAAAAGGAAGAAGGAAGAGGAGAAGAAGAAGGAGGAGGAGGAGGAAGAAAAAGGAAGAAGAAAGGAGGAGGAAGAAAAAGGAGGAAGAAAAGGAAGGAAGAAGAAAAAGGAGAAAAAAGGAAAAAGAAGAAAAGGGAGGAGGAGGAGAGGAGGAAGAAAAAGGAAGAAGAAAGGAGGAGGAGGAAGAAGAAAAAGGAAGAAGAAGAAAAGGGAGGAGGAGGAGAGGAGGAGAAGAAGAAGGAGGAGGAGGAGGAAGAAAAAGGAAGAAGAAAGGAGGGGGAAGAAGAAAAAGGAAGAAAAGGAAGGAAGAAGAAAAAGGAGAAAAAAGGAAGAAGAAAAGGGAGGAGGAGGAGGAGGAGGAAGAAAGGAGGAAGAAGAAGAATCAAGAGGGAGGAAGAGGCGACAGTGGGGGAACATCCAATATTTATTCTGGAGGATGCTGGCAGCATCTCCTGCCCATGCCCCCTCCTCCGTCTCCTGTGGGCCAGATTGGAAGGGAGAGGCAGGTGCCACACTGACCTCGCACTTTGAGCATGGAGAAGCCTGTCCCCTTCCCCTGCCGGTTGGATGCTGTGCACACGTAGACACCTGTGTCTTCCAGGCGAACCGAGGGAATGATCAGGCTGTGGCCTTCCAGTCGGGCATGCCGGGGCAGCTCTCCTTCCAGCTGCAAGACAGTTAGCCACAGAAACCCCTAGCAGGCCTGCCCCCCCCCCAAAAAAAAACAGATCACCCTATCCCAGAGCCAATGGGAAGCTCTGCAGCACATTTCCCAAAGCCTCTGCAGCAGCGCCTCCCCCTGCATCCCGCCTGGGGAGAGATGGGGGAATCACTCCCGTCTGAGACGTACCTTGGTCCACTTGATTTCTGGGACAGGGAACCCGGAGGCCGAGCATGGGAAAATCACGGTGGAGCCTGTGGAAACCTCCTTCACTTCTGGCTGGGCAGCCACTTGCGGGACGGCTGTGGGAAGACAGAGGAGGCCCCACCCTGTCAGCCACGGAGAGCAAAGCAGAGAGAGGACACCCCTCCGGGAGAAGGTCGAGCTTACACTGGACATGCAGGATGACATGGGACTGGACGGTGCCGACGTTGTTGGTGGCCGTGCAGCGGTACTTTCCCGCATCGGCCTGCTCCACCCGCTCGATCTTCACCAGGCCTCCACTGGCCAGCACTCCCGGGCGCAGCTGCCCGCCCACCTTGCTCCAGGTGAGGTCCGGCTTGGGGTCGCCGAAAGCCAGGCACTCAAACTCCACGGCATTGCCCGCCAGGACGGTCTGCACCGATGTCCGGATGTTGATCATCACTTTGGGGAGGGCTGAGAAGAGAAATGGGGTGGGTGGGGTGTCTCCAGAGAGGGAAGAGCAGGCTGCCTGTCTCCCTCAGGTGGGGTACTTGGTCCACCAGCTGACATGATGCTTACTTACCCCGGACAGTCAGGCTGACCCTCTCCTGGGCCTGACCGGAGGGACTCCTGGCCCGACACACATATACCCCCTGGCACTCCGGGACCAGCTTCTCAATCCTAGAGGGAAGCAGCCACTCTGTCAATCCCTCGGCTCTTTGCCCCAGTCTACAGGTGCCCAGTGCCACCTCCTCCTCCCACCTGTGCCATGCCGTGTCCCTCATCTGCCCCACTCACCGCAGCACTCCATTGCGGATGGTGTGAGTGGGAGGCAGCTCTCCGCCCTCTTTAAACCACTCGATCTGCGCCCCGGGATCCCCGGAAACGGAGCACACAAACTCCGCTGTGGCACCCACGGCTCTGGTGTCACTCTGAGGGGTGACCTGAACGGAGAGGGGTTCTCCAGCATGGCCTGAATTGGGGACAATGAGGAGGACGCACCACAAGTCAGCGCGAATACGACAAAAAATGTGGACCCAGACATACAATATGTAGAGCCATGATGGCAAACCTATGGCATGCGTGCCAGGAGTGGCACGCAGAACCCTCTCTGTGATGTGTGCCATCGCCAATTGCTCTTCTGGTTTCCGGCGTGCATGAAATATGGCCCGAAAATGGTCCCAAAACCGGCCTGGAAATGGCCCGGAAAATGTACTGAAAATGACCTGAAAATGGTCTGAAAATGGCCCCAAAACAGGCATATGCACGCCGGCCATCTGGTCTTCGGTGCTCCGGCACATGCACACACATGCATTTGTGTTCCGGTTTGGGCACTCGGTGCCGAAAAGGTTCGCCATCACTGATGTAGAGCAATAATTCGTTTTTTCAGATCCTCAGAGAGTTCATTGCCATGAGGCGCCATGTTGAACTTCCAGTGACCAGTATGAGAAAGTGAAAGCAATAACACCAAATTTAACACACCTGCTCCTCCTTCACACCTGAGACTTTGTAACACTTAATGAGTCACATGACACCAGGGAGGGGGAAAACGGCTACTTGGGCCCCCTTTGGACATGATCACTTAGGGGTGTGCTCACTTTTGTTCCCAGCAGCTTAGACATGAAAGGCTGTGTGTGTTGCATCATTTTGAGGGGACAGCACGTTGACACTGTTATGCAAGCTGTATGCTCACTACTTCACATTGTAGCCAAGTGTCATTTCTTCAGTGTTGTCACATGAAAAGATATACTTAAATATTTACAAAATGTGAGGGGTTGTACTCACGTCTGTGATATACTGTACATCAGGTCCAAGGCTGGGGCCAAAGCTAACTTTTCAGGGCTCTCAGGAATCCTAGGACTGACCCACAAGTCCTTGGGGGGTTTCTTTTATACCAGCAGCCTACTTTTTAATCTCCCAATTCGAGAGGGTTCAGGGTTATGAGGCAGGATCGAGCCCCGCACTCCCTTGGTTGAACCTCCCATCTTGGCTGCAATAGCAATAGCACTTAGACTTACAGTATATAGCGCTAAGCGGTTTACAGAGTCGGCCTCTTGCCCCCAACAATCTGGGTCCTCATTTTACCGACCTCGGAAGGACAGAAGGCTGAGTCAACCTGGAGCCTGGTGAGATTCGAACTGCCGAACTGCAGCTAGCAGTCAGCGGAAGTACCCTGCAGTACTGCACTCTAACTACTGCGCCACCTCAGATGCCCACTCACCTTGCACATAGACCTGGGCAAAAGCCTCAGCGGAGCCCACCCGGTTGCTGACATGACAGCGGTAGGTGCCGGAATCCCGGTGCCCGGCGGGGCTGAACTGCAAGATGCCCTCTCGCACCGTGGCCCGTCCAGGGAGACTGCCATTCACCTTGGTCCACTGGTAACGCAGCGGGGGCGTGCCGTGGGCCAGGCACTGCAGCTGCACTGCATCGCCCTGGTGCACCACTGCTCGGTTGGGAAGACTGGTGGCGTAAGGTGGTACTGAGCAGAGAGAGAAGGTGGGGGGAGAGCTTGGCACAGGTACCAGTCCCGGAGCTTCCAGAGGAAGGCACTGAACCAGTCCATGGATGCGAGTGGTCCGTGGGGAAGGGGTGTCTGGCATTTCTCCCTCTTTTGCCATCCCCCTGTCAACCCAAGGTCACCCAGGTAGCAGCACAGCACCCCTGCACGAGCCCCATCCCTCCTCCTCCTGGCACACTCACTCTCCACATCCAGCACTATGAAGGCTTCCGTGAACCCCGCAGAGTTACTGGCATTGCAGATGTACTGGCCCGAGTCCTGCTGGGCTGCCCGGGGGATGATGAGGGTGTCATTCACCACCTGATGCTGCCATGGCAAGGGAGCCCGTAGCTTGGACCAGTGGATGGTGGGAGTCGGGTCACCTGTCGGTCCCAGCAAAGGAAGCAGTGGTGAGCCCGGCTGGCCAGAAACCCAGGTAGCCTTGGCATAGGGGACCCCCAAGATGGGCTTGTCAGCTTGGAGGGAGGGGACCAGTCAGGGCTGATTAATCCCCCCTATACAAACACACCCACACCCACACACCAGCACACACCTGTGGCAGAACAATGGAGCCGAGCCGTCTGTCCCGCCTCCACCGTCTGGGTTGGAGTCACATGGATTTCGGGGACTCCTCTGCTGCCGTGCACCGCCTCCACGCTCACATCCACCTGCGCCTCCGTGGTGCCCACGGAGTTCTGGGCCACGCACACGTAGGTACCGGCATCTCCCAGCTTTGCAGAGGAGATCTGTGGCGGGAGAGGACCCCACACGATGCCCTCAGCCTGATTCCCACCCAAACGGAGGGATCAAGCTATCTTTTAGTGTCAGAATATTCATGAACTGGCAGAGACATGGTAACAAGATCAGCCAATGAATAGACATGGTAACAGGTCAGCCAATGAGGCTTATTTGGAAACAGAAACTTAAGTAAGTCTGGGCATGGCTTAGCTGTATTAAGTGCTGAGCTCTGAAATGAAACTACCTGTATTTTTCGGAGTATAAGACGCAGCGGAGTATAAGACACACCAAGATTTTGAAGAGGCAAATTAAAAAAAAAAGTTTTTGCACTCTGCAAACCTCCCAAAAACGGGCTAATCTTTCGCAGTTTCCAGGGTGGCCTGTGGGTCAGATCAGGCCCCCAGGCCTTGTGTTTGACACCCCTGCTTTAGACCTTCACCTACCTGCAGCACTGCTCGGCTCTCCAAGGGTAGCATCCTCTGGTTCTCCAGCTTCTTCCAAGCTCCCAGCTTGGTCCAGCCCACCACAGCTCGAGGGTCCCCGGTTGCCAGGCAGTCCACGCTGATGGATTTGCCCACTTTGAGCTGCAGGGGCCCCTTCGGCACCACCGAGACGGTAGGCAGCCCTAGGAGGAGAGAGCAGCATCGGAGTTTACCCAGGGCTTTTGGGAGACTCTCTGCCCCGGCGTTCCTTCAGAGTCCAAATTTAGCCTCGGCTGGATGAGAACAAAAGGGGGCCTTGTCCCTGCTGTCCTAGAGAGACCCTCAACTGTTATCCCTTACCTTGGACTAGGACGTTGACTAGGCTGTTGGCAATCCCAAACGGGTTGGAGACCACACACCGGTAGGCCCCATGGTTTTCTGGACGGGCATTGGAGATGGTGATCGCAGAGCCATTAGGGCTGATTCTCACATTATCTGCAGAGGGGATGGAAGGAATTACCAGGGGGGGGGGCACTCCCCAGAATCAGTACCCCCCCCCAAACCACATGGCCTAGCTGCTCACCTGGCAGCCCCAAAACCCAGTGGTGAAATTCAGCTGGTTCTATCCAGTTCAGCAACGGGAGGCTCCAACCACCCACCTGGACATCATCACGCCCCACCTTTGACACTCTGCGCATGCGCAGAGGATGGCACGTGCACTCACATTTGTTAACTGGTGCCAAAGGTAAGTTGATTTCACCCCAGCCCAAACCTCACCTAGCAGCTGGTTGTTGGGAAGCTTCCAGGTGATCTCGAGAGGCGGGCTGCCTTTGTGGATGTGACACCGGAAGGAGACCTCGTCCCCTCCGCGCACAACCACACTGTGGGGCTCTATGGAGATGATGGGGCTCTGCAGACCTGGCAGGAGAGAGCGACGGTGACCCCCGGAGTCTGAACACCCTCCACCCGCCCACTCTCACCCCTGCCGGAATGCCAGACGTACGGGAAGTAGGACTGGTGTTGGCCACGACAGAGACCATGAAGGACGCCTCTTGTGGGACGCTGCCTCCACTCACACGGCAGATGTATTCACCAGAGTCGGCGGGGGTGAGTCGGACCAGTCGCAGATGGGCGTTGGAGACCTGTGTGGGCCGGGCAGGAAGAGGAAAAGCATTGCAGATTTCTGATTTCCCCACTTGCATGAGCCTCTTCTTCTGTCAACAAGGCTGCCTTCTTTGCCCCACTGTGGACAAGCTTGCCCCTACCTGGTGACCTGCAGGCAGCTGACCCTCTCGCCGATACCAGGTGAACGTGGCCTGGGGCTGGCCTGGAGCAATGCACGACAGATCCAAGGTCTCTCCTTCAATGGCGGCAGAGGAGGAAGCCTCGATCCTCAGAGCTGAGGCACCCCCTGTGGCTGCACGAAAGGAGAAGACAACATCTCAAATGTCCTGCAGCAGGACTGGGTTGCCAAGTGGCGGATAGGGGAGCAGAGACTTACGGTGGGAGGGTCCCTCACTGTCCTGGATGGTGACAACCAACACCGCCTCCTGGACGGCATTGGGGCTGCTGACACGGCAGACGTACTCGCCGGAGTGGGCGGAGGAGACCTGTGGGATGCGAAGGCGAGTGCCCGAGACCTGCCAAGGAGAGGTAAGTTACCCACTCGCCACAATGTCGGTATTTGGCTCTCCCGCTGGCCCTCTTTCCCCAGAGAGGAGCTGGGAAGGGTGAAAGGAGCGAGGATCACCATCCTCACCCGAGTCAGGCGAAGCAGACACGCCTTTCCCCTTTTACCTGGTGGTTGGGTGGGAGGGGTCCTCCTCTCTTGAACCAGCTGACTTTGGGGTGGTTCTGGCCAGTCACGAGGCAGTTCAGCTCCAAGGTCTGTCCCTCGGCGAGGGAAGAGGAGGAGGATTCAATCCTCACCGGCGGTATCACCCCAGAAGCTGCAGAGGATGAGGAAGGGTTGGACTGCAACCCCACTGCATGGCTCCCCAATTTCCCTTCCTCCCCTTTCCTTTCCCCTCCACATGCCGCAAGCTTCCTGGGCACCTACTGGATGGGCCGCCTGAGCTGCTGGGAATGGACACAATGATGGATGTCTCCAGTCGGCTGGTGCCATCGTTCACGTAACAGACATACTCGCCCGAATCGGCTGCCGAAACTTGCGAGATTCGGAGGCGGGTTCCGAAAATCTGTTACCGGGAAAAGAAAAGCAGACAACTAAGAGCTGATTTCTTTTACCAACTGAAGCCATTTTCCACCTCCATCTGCCTTGGATTTCCCAAAGCCTCAATGTCAAGATCCAATGCGAGAATCCAAATAAAACCTCAGGTTCATTCTCTTTCCAAATGTTTTACTGTTTATTGAACACACTGCATGGTAAAGTCGAAGTAAAACTAATTCTGAGGTTCCCAAACATTGGTTGATAGAATTAAACAATAATTTTCCCAGCCAAACCCCGTTGTCCTCACTTAAGTTATGGGAACCGTCTGCTTCAACTCCGCACCCATTATGATGTCCTTGAGAAGGTTTCAAGCTCTCACAGTCTTCGGTGGAATCGTAAAGGTTTCGTTTCTCCATCTAATCCATTCTAAAGCAACCCCTCCCTCCCCACTCTAAGTTGAAATGAAGAGTTTCATCCTTGACACTCAGTTTCCATTTCTTAAGCCCCCAAATATTACGCCAAGGTGTTTCAGGAGATCCCTCATTACGACGACCGAAAATGCGTAACACACATTCTGAAAAATAATGTCTGGCTAATCCAGTGTTCCCACAATCACAAACCCGCTTCCTTTCCATCAGCTGCCCTCTGTAGCCTCTGGGTCTCCCGAAGCCCACCGTTGCCCAAACGCTGCGGGAATCTCTGCCACGTCCCCTTACCTGACTGTGGACAGGCAGGGCACCCTCGCGCTTGTACCACATCACTTTGGCTTGGGATTGGCCAGCCACCAGGCAGTTCAGGTCCAAAGTCTGCCCCTCGGAGATGACTGTGGAGGACATTTCAATCCTGATCGGGGGAGTGACGCCCACAGCTGGAAGAGGAAAACAGGGATCCTGTCAAGATCCGAAGCCTACTCATGCTGCTTTCACTTTTACTTTCTCAGCTTGCCAACAAACTATGGGGGTGGGGGTGGGAAGGGGGAATTGAAATGTGGGTTGTAACCATCAAGCATGCAGCCTGTGAGAACCAAGGTCACTTCAGCAGGTGGTTGCCAGACCTTCCAGACATCTTCTCATAACAATATTGTGACACTTAATTGGACAATGTGACCTGCACTAATTGGAGGGAGAGGGGAATCTATACTTTAATTATACTGAATTGCGCGGGAATTAGCCAGAGCTGGTTTTGCTTTCATTCTGTGCCGAAATGATGTGCACAATAAAGTTCTGCATGAAGGGATTGGATTGTCTCGATGGCGCTTGCTGGGTTGGGTTTGTCAGTCGGAACCTTGACAGAACCATAGGGGGATCCTCCACAGATCCCCCCCCACAGAGCAGGCAATCAATCACACGCCGCAGCCTAGCACCCATGGGGAAGGGGACTTACAGTAGGAGTCCCTTTCACCTTTGATGGTCACCACCAGCGAGGCCTCGTGAATGGCCGAGCCGTGGCTCACGCGGCAGACGTATTCCCCAGAGTCAGCTGGTGAAGCCTGTGGGATGCGCAGGAGGAAACCGGAGACCTGGGGAGAGGTGAGCAGAAGGTGAACAGGGATGGCTAGCACTGTCTAGGTGCCAGCCTCTTCCTCGCAGCACCTGGAGGCGTTTCTGGGAGAAAAGCCCCTCTTGGTGAGCCCCACATGGGCAGTGCCATACCTGATGGCTGGCAGGAAGAGCCCCTCCTCGCTTATACCAGGTGACTCTCGCCTGCGGCACAGAGGCGGCCACGATGCATTTCAGGTCTAAGGTGTGGCCCTCGGAGAGCGAGGTGGAAGAAGACTCGATCCGTACAGGTGGGATCACCCCAGCAGCTGCAACGGTTATAAGAGAAGAAAGCTCAGGGCTGTCGCCAAATTCCCCCCACCCTGCCAGGGAGAAGCCAAGCGTTAGAGAAGCCCCACAGTTGCTGCCTTCTCTCCTCCCAGCTGACCCACATAATCCTTGGGAGTCAGAGAAACAGATCCTTTAAACATTCCAGTGCTTAGGATTCCCTCCAGGGCCCTGTACAGCTAGTCCTCGACTTACGACCATAATTGATCCCAGAATTTATGTGGCTAAGTGAGACTGTTGTGTGAGCTTTGCCCCATTTTACCACTTCTCTCGCCATGTTTGTTAAGTGAATCACGGCAAATTAGTTAAATTAGTAACACCGTTGTTAAGCGAATCCGGCCTCCCCATTGGTTTTGCTTGTCAGAAGGTCACAAAAAGAGGATCATGTGTCCCCTGGGACACGGCAGCCATCATAAATATGAGCCAGATGCCAAGCACCCAAATGTAAATCCCAGGGATACTGCAAATGGTCGTAAGTGTGAAATAAGGTCATAAAGTCCCTTTTTAACATTGAACTAAGCGGACTGTTGTAAGATGAGGACTGCCTGTATTCCCTCCCTTTGCTTTTTCACGCTGCCAACCTTTGCGCCAGCCCTCCTGGTTCATCCTCCCTCATTCCCACCCTTATGAGCTGCTTCGAGGGAAGGTAGTCCTTACGGAAAGTGGGTCTGCCTTCCTGTTGCTGGACAGTGACCAAGACGGACGTTTCCTGGCTGGCGGCATCGGAGCTGACCCGGCAAACGTACTCTCCAGAGTCAGCCGGAGAGATCTTGACCAGACGCAGACGAGTTCCCAAGGCCTGAAAGAGGATGGCACCCAGGGGTAAGATCAGCCGGTTTGTATCGGTTCGTACGGACCGGTTCTTCCATCCACCTGCCCCTGCACTAGTCTGTCCTGTACTTCCTTTGTTTGAAGCCCAGCTGATAGGCGCGGCAGAGCGGATTGCCACGCCTCAGCTATTTCACTCACCGGGGCTGCAGTAGAAGGTAAGTTTCAGAGCTGTTTTGAAATGAACTGCGCATGAGCTCAGTGAACCAGTTGTTACACTGGTTTTGGTGTACCAGTTGCGACCCTATCTGGACCGGGAGGCCCTTCGGATGGTCACTCACGCCTCGTCACCTCAAGACTGGATTACTGTAACGCGTTCTACAAGGGGCTGCCCTTGAAGAGTGTTTGAAGACTCCAGTTAGTCCAGAATGCAGCCGCGCGAGCGATTGTGGGCGTACCTAGGGACACCCACATTACACCTGTCCTCCGCGAGCTGCACTGGCTTCCTATTGGTCTCCGGACACGTTTCAAGGTGCTAGTCATTACTTTTAAAGCCCTTCATGGTTTAGGACCTGGCTACCTGAGAGACCGCCTCCTGCCATTTACCTCCCAGATCGCACAGATTAGGCCTCCTCCGGATCTGCCAGCCAATGTTGGCTGGCCACCCCCCGGGGAAGGGCCTTCTCTGTTGCTGCTCCGGCCTTATGGAACGATCTCCCCATGGAGATCCGGACCCTTACTATTCTCCTGGCCTTCCGCAAAGCAATTAAGACCTGGCTCTTCCAGCAGGCCT